ATTAGCATCTTCCTACTCCATTTTTTTAGCCAACGTCCTTCTACTTCATGTTTAATATTATTTTTATCCTTAAATTAAGGACCTTAATGTCATGTTATCGAATACCATTAGTTTGGGCGTTAAATGTTACGCATTTCGTCATTTTCTTTTCTTTACCGAGTACACATTCATATCTTCCACTCTTGTATTCTATATAAACACTGAAGCCATTTTTTTTTAAAATAAAAAAACGGGTTTGCTGTGTAATTTAAAGATCCAAATTGATGATTTACTAAATTATTCCAAACTATTACAAGTGAATTCCATTCAAATTTACATGCATTTTAGTACCATGGGCATAAGCCGCGTAAGTGCGTAACACTGATCACTTATTCCCAAACTTTCCTCTAATCTTTGGACCCTAAAGTTTGCTCGTGATGTTAATATTTCGAACTTTTGACGCTTGTGAAGACATATCTTTTGGGACCACAATTGTCAGTACTCCATTTCGAACTTGAGCCCTGATCTGGTCCACTTTCACATTTTCTGGCAATTCCATTTCCCGAGAAAATTCTCCTTTCCCAGTCCCCCTCTCAGCTACATGCCAAACAGTGTCCTTGGGCTGGGATTCCTCAACCCCCTTTCCTGTTATGTGCAACATGTTCCCATCTTCCACCTGCACCCTAATCTCGTCTTTGCTGTATCCTATATGTACATCCAACGAAACCCATTAATAATTTCACTCTAAAAATACGAAATCAAATGAAACTTCTCTGAATTTTAACTTCAAGACCAAAAAAAACACACAAAAATTCAGTGATCAGAGATTGATGATGCTCAAGAGCACATTAAAATACAGAGAAGAAAAGAGATTGTAGAACCTGGGACGTTGATCTTGAAGATGTGGGCATTTGGTGATTCAAGCCAATCCATCATACCCGTTGATCCCGACCATTCCCTGAAGATTGGAGGGCTAAAAAAGAATCGCCTAAAAGGGTACCCGAATATGCCATCCGCCATTTTTGTTCTTAGTGTTGAGAGCCGATTTACAGAGAATTGCTTATATGTAGAGTGGTTTTGTTGGTGGTATTTGTGTTTTGGAGTGTCCAGAATGTTCTTTGTGGCTTATTCAGGACAGTGGAGATGATGAACGAGAAATGATAAGGTGCTCTGTGTATGACTTAAATTGATCATGGCCGTTCAAACAAATGACCTCGTTTAAGATGGGTCAAGATGATCAGATAGCCCAAATTTGAAGGCAGCAAGGCTCATACTTTATAGATTTTGGTTGGGCTTTACGATATTGCGAACGTTTTTTAGGGCCCATCAAATTAGAACAGAATGGACCTGTGGGTGGGATTAACCGCCATTCGCACTGAATTTAGTAAACAAAAAACTATTTTATAGGATAAATTGTATGTATTTTTTCATGTAAAATTATTTAAATATTTTTAAAATCTATTTTATATTACATTTTAAAAGATATTTAAATAATCTTATGGGACAGATTATATACAGTTCATCCTGTAAAACAATATTTTGTTTAGTAAAATCTAAAAAAAAAAAAAAAGGGATTTCATCAGAGTCAAAATTATAAGTGGAAAAAGTTGATTTTCCTTTCTTCCCCCCCCCTCCCCCTCTTTTTTTTTGCCTGCAAAAGATTATGAATTATGATTGATTGGATATACTACATGATTCTTGCTTTTGAAGAGAGATCATCATACATATGTTTGTGACTTGGTTGAAAAAATTAAAAGTTAAGGAGGTATATATGTCACTTTGAACGGTATAGGTTAGTGATCCAATTTGGGAGATCGGAGTCGGACTGTAGTTTAATAGAAAGCGAAGAGGAAAAGAAGACGGAATCTTCACTTTATTGTTA